AGTGGTTGAGAGCAAAGATCAGGAAGAAGCAGCTGCTCTGGAGAGCAGTCTCTGTGTACCACTCAAAAATAAAATTCTTTCAAATGTGACATTTGTGGAGAATTTACCCACAACAGTGTAAATTGAAAAAACATTACAGAACTCACACTGATGAGAAACGTATTTCATGCGAATCATGTGGAAAAAGTTTCTCACGAAATGGAGCTTTAAATGACCATAGGAGAATTCATACAGGTGAGAAACCTTTTTCATGCGAATCTTGCGGAAAAAGTTTTACTCGAAACAGTAATTTAAAAGTTCACAAGAGAATTCATACAGGTGAAAAACCTTTTTCATGTGAATCATGTGGAAAAAGCTTCTCTCGAATTAGAGATTTAAATGACCACAAGAGAATTCATACAGGTGAGAAACCTTTTTCATGCAAACATGCCGAAAAGCTTCAGACGAGGTAGTGATTTGATGTCCACAAGAAAATTCATACAGGTGAAAAACCTTTTTCATGTGAATTATGTGGGAAAAGCTTCTCTCGAATTAGAGTTTTAAATGAGCACAAGAGAATTCATACAGGTGAGAAACCTTTTTCGTGTGAATCATGCAAAAAAAGCTTCAGACGAGTTAGTCATTTGAATGTCCACAAGAAAATTCATACAGGTGAAAAACCTTTTTCATGCCAATCATGCAAAAAAAGCTTCAGACGAGTTAGTCATTTGAATATCCACAAGAAAATTCATACAGGTGAAAAACCTTTTTCATGTGAATCATGTGGGAAAAGCTTCTCTCGAAGGAGAGTTTTAAATGAGCACAAGAGAATTCATACAGGTGAGAGGCCATTTTCATGCGAATTATGTGGAAAGAGTTTCCGTCGGATGAGTGACTTAAATGTCCACAAGAAAATTCATGCAGGAAAGATTCTTTGTTGATACAAATGATGCGGGAAAACGTTTTTCTCAAATTGCTCAATTTGTTGTCCACAAGAGAATTCATCCAGGTGAGAGGCCTTTTCCTGGATGATCCTGTGAAAAAAAGCTTCTCTCGAAGGAATAGTTTGAGCAATAACCTGAAAACTCATACATGTCAGAGACTATTTTGAAGCCAGTCTTGTGGAAAAGTTTTCTCTGAATATATGCAATAAATTACCAGCTCTTCACCCACTGGAGCTGAACGCACAGTGCCTCACACATTCCTCTTGGTTGCATCTGCAGAGAAATTAGTTCATCAATCAGTTGGATCTGCAAATGTGCATTAGTGAAGGATGTGAATTGTAACCTGTCAAATGAAGGATGGACTTCAGAATTTTCCAGTTGTTTAAAAAAATGACTTGTCAAATAGGAAAATATTCCCTTAACACAACCTCTGGTCCCATGACAGAATATAAAATTGGTTGCTCTCTGCACACTTGTCACTATTTTCTGAGTCTGTCTGACCCATTAAAACTGTAAATCCTTGCATCTGCCTTGTTTTCTTTTGGTCCAATACTGATACCATCACATTATTTACTGCTAGTGAATTATACATCCAACAGTCTGCATACAGGTTGTAATACTCTATTAGAAGGAAAAATTAAAATGAGAAAAATAGGAGTTCATCTGTTAAAGGTGGTAAAAGATACCGGGACAAGTTACTACTGTCCTGGTACATATTGGCCTCACTGATTAAATGCTGATGTACTTGAGGCAAACAGCAGTCTGTAGCTAAGCTAACCAAGTTAAATGGTTAATGATCACACACTACAAACTATCCAACTCTCTTGAAGAAAAACTGGGTTACAAATAGACATCATTTCTCAGGGTTTCCCTCAGGAAACTTGCTGAGCCCATTGTGTTTTCATATTAAAAAATGTTACTGACAATGTTACTGGAAAACATTGCCAACAATACTTTAATCCACAACTACAGATTCTGAAATTGAAAACGACGTCGATTAATGCTCTTTTAACAGAGACTGGAGAGACTCCAATGGAAGTTAGATGAATAAAATTACCTATATTGGATGGAAATGAAAAGTATAAAAGAAAATGTAACGTTAAGAGTAGGACATACCTGTCTAAATGATATTTTATGTCTGATAAGGAGGAAAAAATATGATAAAATGAAGGTTGTGGAGAGAAAGAAATGTAGAACATGCATTGATGAATTGTACAACATATGGCCTGAAAGGGAGAGATTGAGAAGAATAGTTAGGAGGACAGGAATGGAGTCTGAAAGGAATATTGGGAAATGACAGAAACATAGTGGATATTTACAGATTAAACAGCATTATATGTTCATCTTCAGAATACAAAATAATTAAAAAAAAAAACAGTATTTAATGGATGTAATGTTGCTACACACTCATGTACAGTAGGTGGCGCCATAGCTTCAGGTTGCTTGCGATCCGCCATAATAGAAAAGAAGAAGAAGCCTGCATACGCTAAGCTACTAAACTGCTGCATTGTCCCATCTGAGCGAATATTTCAGCACCATGTGTTCAGTTCAGCATCTCAGAGAGTTTATCAGAGAGAGACTAACTGCTGCTGCGGAGGAAATCTTCACAGAGGTTGAAAAAACCATCATTAGCTACGAGGAAGAGCTCGATGCTCAGCGCAGGATGATGGGGATCAGCTGGAAACCAGACATTAAGCTACACAGAGTCGGTTCGGAGCTGCAGAGGCAAAGTTCTGGTGGGTCTGGATGAAATGTTTTCACTGCAGACAGAGATCCGTCAGAGGAGATAGTTGCTGCAGCTCCAGCTGCTGCTAACTGGAACTGTTAGCTGCTAGCTCTGTTAGCTGCTAGCTCTGATGCTACAGAGTTTAGCACAAATAGAAACCTGGCCGAGTTTAGCCCTGACTAAATATATGACTCCAATATAAATTCTTTATCTGTAAGCTAATATGAGATTTTGTGAGTCTAATAATAATAATAATTGCATTCTTTTCAATCTTCTATGTCATCCATTTCCTTATGAACATCAAAACTCCTGCCTAATTTAAATAAATGCCCTCTTCTTTGTCTTTACTGAAGAGTGGCTTAGAGAAACAAATCTCTGTTTGATCACAGAGATAATCCAAAAAACCAGAATGCCATGTTTTACTGAGTAAAGTTTTACGTATTCTGATCCACTTTGAAAAGTGAGGTTACTCTGCAGGATACAAGTCAGATTAAAAACATATTGTCTTAATGTACAATGAGTTTCTTCACTGTATGGATGCCCTAAAATCAAGAATTAATTTAAAAACTAAAAAAACTGTATGAAACTGGACTGGGGACTAAAGTCTTTTGAACATTTTTGCCACAATTGTAACTTAGTGTGGTAGACACTTTATCTACTTTTCAGTTAAACTCTACTAGCTAATTTTAGATGGTATGTGTGATGCCTACTAACCACAATCTACAGAAAAAAGGCTGATCCATGAGATAGTTATCAATTAAATTATATTAATGATGTCATCCTTTGTTCTCACAGACCTCCAACAGCCAAGTCTCTCCAATGAGGAGGAAGTTTCTACCATCCAACTAATTTGTAGCCTGGCAAGTAGGTCCAATCAGGACCAGAAAGAAACAGAACATCATTGGACTGGAGAGGAAGAGATGGATCCAGAACCAAAATGGATTAAAGAAGAGGAAAAACCAGAACCTACACTACTCAAACATGAGGAAATAGAATATCCACTAATGTACGCAAAAAAGGAGGCGCTTGATTCTTCAATGCTTCAACATGAACAGCAGCCACTAGAACATTTCCCAACGGAACAGGACCAGAAGAACCTCTGCAGCAGTCAGGAAGGAGAGCAGCAAACTGTGCAGAAACAGTTTGCTGCTTTGATTGAGACTTCTACTGTTCAGGAAGATGAAACGAATGAAAAAGAGACAAAAACAGAGCGACTTTCCCTTCATGTCTCTCCAGTGGTTGAGAGCAAAGATCAGGAAGGAAGCAGCTGCTCTGTGTCAAAGAGTCAGTCTGGTACCAACTCAAATAAAAATTCTTTCAAATGTGACATTTGTGGGAGAATTTACCCACAACAGTGTAAATTGAAAAAACATTACAGAACTCACACTGATGAGAAACGTATTTCATGCGAATCATGTGGAAAAAGTTTCTCACGAAATGGAGCTTTAAATGACCATAGGAGAATTCATACAGGTGAGAAACCTTTTTCATGCGAATCTTGCGGAAAAAGTTTTACTCGAAACAGTAATTTAAAAGTTCACAAGAGAATTCATACAGGTGAAAAACCTTTTCATGTGAATCATGTGGAAAAAGCTTCTCTCGAATTAGAGATTTAAATGACCACAAGAGAATTCATACAGGTGAGAAACCTTTTTCATGCAAAACATGCCGAAAAAGCTTCAGACGAGGTAGTGATTTGAATGTCCACAAGAAAATTCATACAGGTGAAAAACCTTTTTCATGTGAATTATGTGGGAAAAGCTTCTCTCGAATTAGAGTTTTAAATGAGCACAAGAGAATTCATACAGGTGAGAAACCTTTTTCGTGTGAATCATGCAAAAAAGCTTCAGACGAGTTAGTCATTTGAATGTCCACAAGAAAATTCATACAGGTGAAAAACCTTTTTCATGCCAATCATGCAAAAAAAGCTTCAGACGAGTTAGTCATTTGAATATCCACAAGAAAATTCATACAGGTGAAAAACTTTTTTCATGTGAATCATGTGGGAAAAGCTTCTCTCGAAGGAGAGTTTTAAATGAGCACAAGAGAATTCATACAGGTGAGAGGCCATTTTCATGCGAATTATGTGGAAAGAGTTCCGTCGGATGAGTGACTTAAATGTCCACAAGAAAATTCATGCAGGAAAGATTCTTTGTTGATACAAATGATGCGGGAAACGTTTTTCTAAATTGCTCAATTTGTTGTCCACAAGAGAATTCATCCAGGTGAGAGGCCTTTTCCTGGATGATCCTGTGAAAAAAGCTTCTCTCGAAGGAATAGTTTGAGCAATAACCTGAAAACTCATACATGTCAGACTATTTTGAAGCCAGTCTTGTGGAAAAGTTTTCTCTGAATATATGCAATAAATTACCAGCTCTTCACCCACTGGAGCTGAACGCACAGTGCCTCACACATTCCTCTTGGTTGCATCTGCAGAGAAATTAGTTCATCAATCGTTGGATCTGCAAATGTGCATTAGTGAAGGATGTGAATTGTAACCTGTCAAATGAAGATGGACTTTCAGAATTTTCCAGTTGTTTAAAAAAAATGACTTGTCAAATAGGAAATATTCCCTTAACACAACCTCTGGTCCCATGACAGAATATAAAATTGGTTGCTCTCTGCACACTTGTCACTATTTTCTGAGTCTGTCTGACCCATTAAAACTGTAAATCCTTGCATCTGCCTTGTTTTCTTTGGTCCAATACTGATACCATCACATTATTTACTGCTAGTGAATTATACATCCAACAGTCTGCATACAGGTTGTAATACTCTATTAGAAGGAAAAATTAAAATGAGAAAAATAGGAGTTCATCTGTTAAAGGTGGTAAAAGATACTGGGACAAGTTACTACTGTCCTGGTACATATTGGCCTCACTGATTAAATGCTGATGTACTTGAGGCAAACAGCAGTCTGTAGCTAAGCTAACCAAGTTTAAATGGTTAATGATCACACACTACAAACTATCCAACTCTCTTGAAGAAAAACTGGGTTACAAATAGACATCATTTCTCAGGGTTTCCCTCAGGAAACTTGCTGAGCCCATTGTGTTTTCATATTAAAAAATGTTACTGACAATGTTACTGGAAAACATTGCCAACAATACTTTAATCCACAACTACAGATTCTGAAATTGAAAACGACGTCGATTAATGCTCTTTTAACAGAGACTGGAGAGACTCCAATGGAAGTTAGATGAATAAAATTACCTATATTGGATGGAAATGAAAAGTATAAAGGAAGAAAATGTAACGTTAAGAGTAGGACATACCTGTTTAAATGATATTTTATGTCTGATAAGGAGGAAAAAATATGATAAAATGAAGGTTGTGGAGAGAAAGAAAATGTAGAACATGCATTGATGAATTGTACAACATATGAGCCTGAAAGGGAGAGATTGAGAAGAATAGTTAGGAGGACAGGAATGGAGTCTGAAAGGAATATTGGGAAATGACAGAAACATAGTGGATATTTACAGATTAAAGACAGCATTATATGTTCATCTTCCGAATACAAAATAATTAAAAAAAACAGTATTTAATGGATGTAATGTTGCTACACACTCATGTACAGTAGGTGGCGCCATAGCTTCAGGTTGCTTGCGATCCGCATAATAGAAAAGAAGAAGAAGCCTGCATACGCTAAGCTACTAAACTGCTGCATTGTCCCATCTGAGCGAATATTTCAGCAACCATGTGTTCAGTTCAGCATCTCAGAGAGTTTATCAGAGAGAGACTAACTGCTGCTGCGGAGGAAATCTTCACAGAGGTTGAAAAAACCATCATTAGCTACGAGGAAGAGCTCGATGCTCAGCGCAGGATGATGGGGATCAGCTGGAAACCAGACATTAAGCACAGAGTCGGTTCGGAGCTGCAGAGACAAAGTTCTGGTGGGTCTGGATGAAATGTTTTCACTGCAGACAGAGATCCGTCAGAGGAGATAGTTGCTGCAGCTCCAGCTGCTGCTAACTGGAACTGTTAGCTGCTAGCTCTGTTAGCTGCTAGCTCTGATGCTACAGAGTTTAGCACAAATAGAAACCTGGCCGAGTTTAGCCCTGACTAAATATATGACTCCAATATAAATTCTTTATCTGTAAGCTAATATGAGATTTTGTGAGTCTAATAATAATAATTGCATTCTTTTCAATCTTCTATGTCATCCATTTCCTTATGAACATCAAAACTCCTGCCTAATTTAAAGAAATGCCTCTTCTTTGTCTTTTGCCTGAAGAGTGGCTTAGAAAAACAAATCTCTGTTTGATCACAGAGATAATCCAAAGAACCAGAATGCCATGTTTTACTGAGTAAAGTTTCTACGTAGTCTGATCCACGTTGAAAAGTGAGGTTACTCTGCAGGATACAAGTCAGATTAAAAACATATTGTCTTAATGTACAATGAGTTTCTTCACTGTATGGATGCCCTAAAATCAAGAATTAATTTAAAAACTAAAAAAACTGTATGAAACTGGACTGGGGACTAAAGTCTTTTGAACATTTTTGCCACAATTGTAACTTAGTGTGGTAGACACTTTATCTACTTTTCAGTTAAACTCTACTAGCTAATTTTAGATGGTATGTGTGATGCCTACTAACCACAATCTACAGAAAAAAAGGCTGATCCATGAGATAGTTATCAATTAAATTATATTAATGATGTCATCCTTTGTTCTCACAGACCTCCAACAGCCAAGTCTCTCCAATGAGGAGGAAGTTTCTACCATCCAACTAATTTGTAGCCTGGCAAGTAGGTCCAATCAGGACCAGAAAGAAACAGAACATCATTGGACTGGAGAGAAGAGATGGATCCAGAACCAAAATGGATTAAAGAAGAAGAGGAAAAACCAGAACCTACACTACTCAAACATGAGGAAATAGAATATCCACTAATGTACGCAAAAAAGGAGGCGCTTGATTCTTCAATGCTTCAACATGAACAGCACCACCAGAACATTTCCCAACGGAACAGGACCAAAGAACCTCAGCAGCAGTCAGGAAGGAGAGCAGCAAACTGTGCAGAAACAGTTTGCTGCTTTGATTGAGACTTCTACTGTCAGGAAGATGAAACGAATGAAAAAGAGACAAAAACAGAGCGACTTTCCCTTCATGTCTCTCCAGTGGTTGAGAGCAAAGATCAGGAAGGAAGCAGCTCTCTGTGTCAAGAGTCAGTCTGGTACCAACTCAAAAAAAAGTCTTTCAAATGTGACATTTGTGGGAGAATTTACCCACAACAGTGTAAATTGAAAAAACATTACAGAACTCACACTGATGAGAAACGTATTTCATGCGAATCATGTGGAAAAAGTTTCTCACGAAATGGAGCTTTAAATGACCATAGGAGAATTCATACAGGTGAAAAACCTTTTTCATGCGAATCTTGCGGAAAAGTTTTACTCGAAACAGTAATTTAAAAGTTCACAAGAGAATTCATACAGGTGAAAAACCTTTTTCATGTGAATCATGTGGAAAAAGCTTCTCTCGAATTAGAGTTTTAAATGACCACAAGAGAATTCATACAGGTGAGAAACCTTTTTCATGCAAAACATGCCGAAAAAGCTTCAGACGAGGTAGTGATTTGAATGTCCACAAGAAAATTCATACAGGTGAAAAACCTTTTTCATGTGAATTATGTGGGAAAAGCTTCTCTCGAATTAGAGTTTTAAATGAGCACAAGAGAATTCATACAGGTGAGAAACCTTTTTCGTGTGAATCATGCAAAAAAGCTTCAGACGAGTTAGTCATTTGAATGTCCACAAGAAATTCATACAGGTGAAAACCTTTTTCATGCCAATCATGCAAAAAAAGCTTCAGACGAGTTAGTCATTTGAATATCCACAAGAAAATTCATACAGGTGAAAACCTTTTTCATGTGAATCATGTGGAAAAGCTTCTCTCGAAGGAGAGTTTTAAATGAGCACAGAGAATTCATACAGGTGAGAGGCCATTTTCATGCGAATTATGTGGAAAGAGTTTCCGTCGGATGAGTGACTTAAATGTCCACAAGAAAATTCATGCAGGAAAGATTCTTTGTTGATACAAATGATGCGGGAAACGTTTTTCTCAAATTGCTCAATTTGTTGTCCACAAGAAATTCATCCAGGTGAGAGGCCTTTTCCTGGATGATCCTGTGAAAAAAAGCTTCTCTCGAAGGAATAGTTTGAGCAATAACCTGAAAACTCATACATGTCAGAGACTATTTTGAAGCCAGTCTTGTGGAAAAGTTTTCTCTGAATATGCAATAAATTACCAGCTCTTCACCCACTGGAGCTGAACGCACAGTGCCTCACACATTCCTCTTGGTTGCATCTGCAGAGAAATTAGTTCATCAATCAGTTGGATCTGCAAATGTGCATTAGTGAAGGATGTGAATTGTAACCTGTCAAATGAAGGATGGACTTCAGAATTTTCCAGTTGTTTAAAAAATGACTTGTCAAATAGGAAAATATTCCCTTAACACAACCTCTGGTCCCATGACAGAATATAAAATTGGTTGCTCTCTGCACACTTGTCACTATTTTCTGAGTCTGTCTGACCCATTAAACTGTAAATCCTTGCATCTGCCTTGTTTTTCTTTGGTCCAATACTGATACCATCACATTATTTACTGCTAGTGAATTATACATCCAACAGTCTGCATACAGGTTGTAATACTCTATTAGAAGGAAAAATTAAAATGAGAAAAATAGGAGTTCATCTGTTAAAGGTGGTAAAAGATACCGGGACAAGTTACTACTGTCCTGGTACATATTGGCCTCACTGATTAAATGCTGATGTACTTGAGGCAAACAGCAGTCTGTAGCTAAGCTAACCAAGTTAAATGGTTAATGATCACACACTACAACTATCCAACTCTCTTGAAGAAAAACTGGGTTACAAATAGACATCATTTCTCAGGGTTTCCCTCAGGAAACTTGCTGAGCCCATTGTGTTTTCATATTAAAAATGTTACTGACAATGTTACTGGAAAACATTGCCAACAATACTTTAATCCACAACTACAGATTCTGAAATTGAAAACGACGTCGATTAATGCTCTTTTAACAGAGACTGGAGAGACTCCAATGGAAGTTAGATGAATAAAATTACCTATATTGGATGGAAATGAAAAGTATAAAGGAAGAAAATGTAACGTTAAGAGTAGGACATACCTGTCTAATGATATTTTATGTCTGATAAGGAGGAAAAAATATGATAAAATGAAGGTTGTGGAGAGAAAGAAAATGTAGAACATGCATTGATGAATTGTACAACATATGAGGCCTGAAAGGGAGAGATTGAGAATAATAGTTAGGAGGACAGGTATGGAGTCTGAAAGGAATATTGGGAAATGACAGAAACATAGTGGATATTTACAGATTAAAGACAGCATTATATGTTCATCTTCCGAATACAAAATAATTAAAAAAAACAGTATTTAATGGATGTAATGTTGCTACACACTCATGTACAGTAGGTGGCGCCATAGCTTCAGGTTGCTTGCGATCCGCCATAATAGAAAAGAAGAAGAAGCCTGCATACGCTAAGCTACTAAACTGCTGCATTGTCCCATCTGAGCGAATATTCAGCAACCATGTGTTCAGTTCAGCATCTCAGAGAGTTTATCAGAGAGAGACTAACTGCTGCTGCGGAGGAAATCTTCACAGAGGTTGAAAAAACCATCATTAGCTACGAGGAAGAGCTCGATGCTCAGCGCAGGATGATGGGATCAGCTGGAAACCAGACATTAAGCTACACAGAGTCGGTTCGGAGCTGCAGAGACAAAGTTCTGGTGGGTCTGGATGAAATGTTTTCACTGCAGACAGAGATCCGTCAGAGGAGATAGTTGCTGCAGCTCCAGCTGCTGCTAACAAGAACTGTTAGCTGCTAGCTCTGTTAGCTGCTAGCTCTGATGCTACAGAGTTTAGCACAAATAGAAACCTGGCCGAGTTTAGCCCTGACTAAATATATGACTCCAATATAAATTCTTTATCTGTAAGCTAATATGAGATTTTGTGAGTCTAATAATAATAATAATTGCATTCTTTTCAATCTTCTATGTCATCCATTTCCTTATGAACATCAAAACTCCTGCCTAATTTAAATAAATGCCCTCTTCTTTGTCTTTACTGAAGAGTGGCTTAGAGAAACAAATCTCTGTTTGATCACAGAGATAATCCAAAAAACCAGAATGCCATGTTTTACTGAGTAAAGTTTCTACGTAGTCTGATCCACTTTGAAAAGTGAGGTTACTCTGCAGGATACAAGTCAGATTAAAAACATATTGTCTTAATGTACAATGAGTTTCTTCACTGTATGGATGCCCTAAAATCAAGAATTAATTTAAAAACTAAAAAAACTGTATGAAACTGTACTGGGACTAAAGTCTTTTGAACATTTTTGCCACAATTGTAACTTAGTGTGGTAGACACTTTATCTGCTTTTCAGTTAAACTCTACTAGCTAATTTTAGATGGTATGTGTGATGCCTACTAACCACAAACTGCGGGGAAAACCAGGCTGATACATGAGATAGTCGTCCATTAAATTACATTAATGATGTCATCCTTTGTTCCCACAGAGCTTCAACAGCCGAGTGTCTCCAATGAGGAGGAAGCTCTTGCCATCCAACAAGTCTGGAGCCTGGCAAGTCGGTCTAAACGGGACCGGAAAGAACCTGAACATCAGTGGACTGAAGACAAACAGATGAAACCGGAACCTAAATGGATTAAAGAAGAAGAGGAAAAACCTCAGCGGACTGAAGTGGAACAGATGGGACCAGTACCGAGATGGATTAAAGAAGAAGAGGAGGAACCAGAATCTACACTGCTCAAACATGAGGAAATAGAATATCCACTAACAAATGTAAAAAAAGAAGAGTTAGATTCTTCAGTGCTTCAGCATGAACAGCAGCCACTAGAACATTTCCCAACTGGACAGGACCAGAAGAACCTCTGTAGCCGTCAGGAGGGAGAGCAGCAAACTGTGCAGAAACAGTTTGCTGCTTTGATTGAGACTTCTACTGTTCAGGAAGATGAAATGAATGAAGAAGAGACAAGAACTAAGCAGCTTTCCCTTCATGTCCCTCCAGTGGTTGAGAACAAAGATCAGGAAGGAAGCAGCTGCTCTGTGTCAGAGAGTCAGTCTCGTACCAGAATAAAGAAAAGATCTTTCAAATGTGACATTTGTGGGAGATGTTACCCACAACATTATAACTTGAAAAACCATTACAGAACTCATACTGGTGAGAGACCTTTTTCATGTGAAACATGTGGAAAAAATTTCTCTCTAATTAGTCATTTAAATCGTCACAAGAGAATTCATACAGGTGAGAAACCTTTTTCATGTGAAACATGCGGACAGAGGTTCTCACAAATTAGTCACTTAAATCGTCACAAGAGAACTCATACAGGTGAGAGGCCTTTTTCATGCCATTCTTGTGAAAAAAGCTTCTATCGAAGGGATAATTTTAGCAGTCACATGAAAACTCATAGAGATCAGAGGCCTTGCCTTAAATTGCCTTGCTGCTGAAATAAATAAAATTTGATTGATTGAAACCAAACTTGTGGAACGATGTTCTTTGAAATTGATTATTTAGAATCCACATGGGCATATTTGTTGTTTGAATTGTTAAAATAGACTTTTTACACCATTTTAGTTTCTCAAGAATTCTCAGCTGTCAAAGAATGATGGGCAGTAGCTCTAAGTAGCTGTTAGGAGAACCTGGCCTAGTCAAAGGCCAGACTTCAACCTTACTGAAATCCAGATTTGTTAACAGACATCTGTTGAAACATATTTTTTGTAAATCTAAATGATCTGCTGCAGGGTTAAAACAAAACAAAGTGAATGTTGCTCCACAAACACGATGTTCAATTCAGTTTTGAGGTCCAACCCCAACTTCTGTTTCCTCCACTTCATTTCTCTCACTGCAGGGGGTCAGATAAAAAATTTAGATAATTCTTTATCTAAATCTATTGTAGTTCCACTGATATTTTTTTCTTGTTTTAATTAATTATATTTTAAGTTATTTTTCAGTATCCTACTTCCTTTCATCATATTTCATTAATTTGGTTTGATTCCCAGTTTATCACCAAATGTGTTTTCTGTCAGTAACAGTTTGAGAAAAGTTATTTTTTTGATAATTCAGCTGTAGCATTTGGCTATTTGTTAATAAACTCTCAGACTTGATTGAAAACAAGCATTTCTGTGATCACTCCTTTTTGCTTGAAGAGTTTCTTCTGTCGGTAGTTTAAATTCATTCCTTCAGAGGTAACTTTCAGGTTTGACTTATGATTCCAGAGATACTGGAACTCAAACTGCGATTCAACAAAATAAACAGTTCATTAATAAAAACCTTTTTTTTTAATCATTGTTAATATTGATGTTAATTTTGATTCCCAAAATTGCTACTTTGCTAATTCTCAGCGATGGTTTAATGCCTGACCAACTGCAGAGCCTAATGGAGAATCAAACTCATTATTATTTGAATCTTATTCAAATAATAATCTGATCTGTTGAAGGAAATGATAACATGTGGTATTTATTACAGAAAGACTACAAAATTCCATGGTAGCAAATTCCTTGCATGATCAAATATATTATTGATCAATATCTGGAGGTGCTAAACTTCCCTAAAACAGACATAATGATGTAGATGCTTACAGCACATTTTAACAAGGTTGACTCTGGACTGATTCTGCCCCTTGTGACATGATTTGGTGTTAAACCAGCAGTAAGTTTCTGTTTCCAGAAAACAAGATTACGTCATCCAGATGCATGTGTTACAAATCTCTGGTTTCACCTCTGTTTACAAAAGAGAAACATTTCAGAACAGTTAAGTGTGAAAATTTCCTTTTGAGTTTCTGAAATGTATGAGACAGTTTTCAAGCTGGATAAACATGACACCACTCTCTCTTCTTCCTGCTCAAACATGCATTGAAGCTGGGAGGAACCAGCAGCTGCTGAAGGTGAAAGCTGATTGGCTGCAGCCTCTTTCCAATCAGACATTAATGTAGACCAGAAGTCAACCCTGGTTTTGGTTTCAGAAAATGAAACTCACAGTGACTGAGAGCGAAAATGGAGCAGAATCAGCTGGACTGAGAAACTTTCTCCTGTTCGATCTGCCTGGATCTTTGCCTTGTTCTAAACTAGTTTCAGGTGAGGCGTCAGTTTGTAGTGACCATTCAGTGCTTTGACCACACTGTGTGGGAAGGGTCGGCTTTTGGGAGGTGAAAAGGGAGAGAAGACATCATTTTGAGGTTCCTTCAGGCCTAGAAGATGTAAAGCATCTTATAGTTTAAGCTGTGTGGCAATAGCAAGGCATATAAAATAAACAGCAAAGCTATGCACACACAGCAAAGTGCGTCTGTGTTATACTAGCGGCAACAAATGTTGCAATGCTTACATTCACTCTTATGTTCAAAATATGGATGAAGGGATACAATTTTCCTTATATATCAGTAGAAGACCAAGAGCATATGTACAAAATATTTTATCTATATTTTTTCATTAAAGTATTTTTCTGACTTCCTCTTTTACAGACATTTACCTCCAGCGTCACAGGCAGGAAGTAAAGAGGTCTGGTCATGTGACCTTTCACACTTGATGCATGAAATTGATATTGCTTAGAGCAGAAGCTGCATTATTTGATTAAAAAATTTCAATTAGCTGCCAAAAGTCAAAACAGTTCTTTTAGAGGTTCCAAAAGTTAGAAAAAATGTCTGGCAACAATTGTTGCCGGTGGGATTAAACGGGTTAATGTGGCTCTGAAGGTTCAGGTCAGAGTTCATCACTATTCCCAGGTTTTGGGTCTGATCGCTGGTTGTGCACTGACTCTAGACCGGTCCTTTTATGGTCCATAACTTCAGCTTTGTTTCTGTTCAGCTGGAGAAAGTTTTGGCGCATCCACACATTTATCTGTTCTAAGCTTTTATTCGGTGATTGGATGGGTTGACATCGTAATGTAGAGCTCTGTATCGTCCGCATAGTTATGGTAACAAATCTTATTTTTTGTTATAACCTGAGATAGAGGGAGTATATAGATATTGACTTGTATCCGCTTCGAAGCGGATACAAGTACTGCTCTACTGGTACTCCGGTCCAGTACAGTACTGGACCAGAGTCCTACCCAACTCTCCATTCGTTTCAGTAATATGTCAGCTCCACTGAGGGCCACCAGGACCAGCACTGTAGTTCTTCCACAGTCTGTGTTTATATGTTTGGAAGCAGATGCAACTCAACTGCAAAAAAACAGCAACTTTTCTGCAGAAATGAGCTTGCAGTTACTAACGTCACATGATGTTAGTAACAGGGTTAGGGTTAACTCTAACCCCAATGATCATTAACATCACATGATGATAGTAACATCATGTGAGTCAATGAATTGTGTAGCATTGTGGCACACAACACAGCAATCCATGATTGAAATATTTCAAGGACGAGACCAAAGAAACCTTGTCTCATAACTAGATTGACTCCGGACTGCTGCTTCCTCTGTGTGGCATGAATTGGTATTAAACCAGAAGTAAATTTCAATTTTTGAAAAATCACAGTTATCAATTTATGTTTACAGAAAACACAAAATTACATCAACCAGAAAAAAACAAAAACAACTGTCACAAAAGGCTGCAGCAACACGAGACTCTCCTGATAAAAATCAGGAGAGTCTCGTGTTGCTGCAAGGTGTTTTTGGTTTTACTGAGTTATCAAGAACACTCCTTTCATTTACTGGAGAGAAATATCTAATTAAAGTTTGAAATGCTCTTCTGAGATGCATCAACAAAATCTAAATTACCTTTGAGAAAATAATAAAATAGAGATAAGATGTTTCACAGAGGAGCATTAGTAAATATTTAACAAACTTTCTTGCAAATGAGGAGACAGAGTAGATTTACAGCTTTGCTCCTTGTTTTTCAGGCTGGAAAAAATTGATGACGATCTCTTCTTCCTGCTAATGAAAACAAACTTTGTGACTGGGTGGAAACCTCAGATGCTGAAGCTGATTGGCTGCTCTCTCTCTGCAATGAGATATGAATCATATATCAGAGCTCAACCCTGTTTTTGTTTTCAGGAAATGAAACTTTCACAGACAGTGTCAGGAAACGTGGAGCAGAATTAGCTTCATTTGTCTGGATTGACTGAAGAATCTGGTGACGATTCCCTGTGGACACAGATACTGTATGAACTGCAGAAAAAAGTGCAGAGAAAACTTCTGTATCGAGATCTTACCTGGAGAAAAACAACATGTTGGGAGCAGTATTAGAGCAGTTGATGAAGATTGGGGTCCTGGATGCTCCTGCTGATCACTGCTATGCTGGACCTGAAGATGTGGCCTGTAATTTCTGCACTGGAAGAAAACTGAAAGCCATCAAGTCCTGTTTAGTTTGTCTGGCCTCTTATTGTGAGAAACACCTTCAGCCTCATTATGATTGACTCCTTTGAAGAAACACAAGCTGGTGGAGCCGAACAAGAACCTGCAGAAGAACATCTGCTCATGGTGAGGTGATGAAGATGTTCTGCCGCACTGATCAGAAGTGTATCTGTTATGTCTGCCCAGTGGATGAACATAAAGGCCACGACACAGTATCAGCTGCAGCAGAAAGGACTGAGAGGCAGAGAGAGCTGGAGGAGAGACGAGGAAACATCCAGCAGAGAATCCAGGAGAGAGAGAAAGATGTGAAGCTGCTTCAACAGGAGGTGGAGTCCATCAATCACTCTGCTGATAAAAAGTGGAGGACAGTGAGGAGATCTTCACCCAGCTGATCCGTCTCCTCCAGGAAAGAAGCTCTGATGTGAAGCAGCAGATCAGATCCCAGCAGGAAACTGAAGTGAGTCGAGTCAAAGATGTTGAGGAGAAGCTGCAGCAGGAGATCACTGAGCTGAAGAGGAAAGACGCTGAGCTGGAGCAGCTCTCACACACAGAGGATCACAACCAGTTTCTCCTCAACTACCCCTCACTGCCAGCACTCAGTGAGTCCACACACTCATCCAGCATCAACATCCGTCCTCTGAGACACTTTGAGGACGTGGCAGCAGCTGTGTCAGAGCTCAGAGACAAACTACAGGACGTCCTGAGAGACTCATGGACAAACATCTCACTGAAAATCAGGGAGGTGGATGTTCTACTGTCAGAACCAGAACCAAAGAGCAGAGCTGATTTCTTAAGATATTCATGTAAAATCACAATGAATCCAAAAACAGCTCAAACGATGTTGGTACTATCTGAGGGGAAAAGCAAGGTGACATGGATGGATCAACATCAGTCTTATCCAAGTCATCCAGACAGATTCATTGATTACTGGCAGGTTCTGAGTAAAGAGAGACTGACTGGACGTTGTTACTGGGAGGTGGAGTGGAGAGGGATACAGGTTTTTATAGCAGTTGCATATAAAAATATCAGCAGAAGAGGGGAAGAATCTTCATTTGGTGGTAATGAGAAATCCTGGGCATTAGAATGTCGCGAAAATGGTTATGGATTTTATCACGACAGCATCTCAACGTCCGTCTCAGGTCCAGTTTCCTCCAGAGTGGGAGTGTACCTGGATCATGAAGCAGGTATTCTGTCCTTCTACAGCGTCTCTAAAACCATGACTCTGATCCACAGAGTCCAGACCAGATTCACTCAGCCGCTACATGCTGGAGTTTATGTATCATTGGAGTCTACTGTTAAATTCTGTAAACCCAAATAGAGAAAATCCAATTCATTCTCACATGGATTTAGATCTGATTATTGTTTTATGTCTAAACTGTTCAGAAATCATTAGTCAGATTGTCTGCGATTGTTTTTCTTCAATTATTATTTTCTAGTTTTGTTGAAATTGTTTATTTTTCTACATCCATTTGATCCGCATAAGAGTATCTGCTGACTCATCCTCTTGTTGCTTTCAGCTGCAAAGACGGTGAATCTGGTAATAAAGGGACAAATGATTCCTCATGTTGTGAAAATGTCACCACGACTTCAATCACGTTCTTGTTTGAATAAGTTTTGTTGAGCCCTGACACAAACTGGACATATTGTCTCATTGTGGATCTCAGCTGATTTTTAGGAGAAATTTCAGAATAAAGCTTTCATTTTGTTTCAGTTTAGCTGTTGGTGATGGGATGCTGCCCCCTGCAGGAAGTTTGTGTTTTTACATGACATGGACTCCAGGAGTTGTTTATCATTGCTTAATTTTTATTAATTGCATGAAATGTTTAATCACTGAAATAAAACCTTTTATTTCTGTATTTATGTTTGTGTCCTGTAGATATTAAATCGGATTTAAAATCTCTTCTGTTCGTTTGCTTAGAGGAAAAAAGCAACATTTCACCATCCATCCATTTCATAAACATCAACTCAGTTTTACATGTAAATAAAAACAAATCTTCAAAATCAGCAGCCATGAAGCAATAAGACTGATTGCTTCAAAGAAAAAAAAAACATTCTGAAGACTAATTTTGTTTTTAGCAGAACTGAACTGTAATCTGTAAATTTATAAAGTAACAGATGAAAAAATAATTAGAAATACACCACTATGATTTGCCAGTGTTGTAAATTTCATATCTGAGAATTTAGTGAAATATCTCAGCTTTTATTTATGACAAATTATGTTTAAAATAGTCTAATTTAAAAGTACCAACAAAATACCTCAAAACTAATTTTAGTAAAATATGACAAAGCAACTAAACAATTTTATTTAAATATTAAAATTTACTGGATATAAAATCTGTAATAAAAGCAGAAATATATTATGGACGAAGGATGTTTCATAGAATTAGGCATAGCAGAGTTAGACTGTAAATGTAAAACTAATATGTTGAAGTAGATTGTCTTGACAAAGATTTGAAATATTGAAGATATGATTTAGTTTAAGGGGAATTTACTGCATCTGTTCCACTAGTTTACCTTTAAAATGTTTTTCTTTTCTAATTTCAGTTTTCTCCCCATATTTTTCACAGACAGGTTTATTTAAGTCCTTTTTATTTATCCAAATGTTTTAAATTTGTCTGTATTTGCAGATTGTATTGATTTCACTCTAGTTCAATCTATTTTAAACTCTTTTTGTCTTTGGACACATTTGTCTATCATTTGTAAAAACATGCAATACTTTGTGTCGTTAAATAAAATCCCAACAAAACATGATGTAGTTGAAGGTTTTAATAAGTTCGAGGGATATGAATAGTTTTGCACATCAGGAAACAATTCATCCATTGTCAATATATGACCACAAGTTAAACAATAAAGAAGAATTTTTCCTTAAAAAATAAAATCTGTAACAGACAATATTTTAAACAAACAAAAACAAGGTGCATAAAGTTTCTGCAGAGATTGAGAATCTCTGAAGAGAAAACTGCCTAAATAATCAGGAATCTGTTGCTGATCTGATCTGTCTTGTCTGTCTGTAAGAGGAAAACATGGCTCTAAATTTATACAGAAAAAACTTAAGAGATAACAGGAACTATGTGCAACACCAAACCACAAAAAATCACAGATGTTTCCTTTAATCTGCCACCTGAAGCAAACATTAGATCTGGAGTTTTGGAGCTAAAAGCAGCAGGAAGCAGCAGAGAAACATGTTAACTTGCAGTAAGCAGCAGCTTCTGTACATTGTTTGTGCTTTCATCAGTGAGTGGTTCAGAGGTTTGCCTTTGTTGCTAACAGTGACGGAACGTGAGACAGATGATTTTCATCTCCTCGACCTGGAGAAAGTCTGATCCGAGGAACTTCAACAATCCTAAGGCTTTAAAGACCGACTCCATGGAGTCACTAACATCTAAACTAAACTGCTTACATCTGTCGAGACACAAACACGCTGTGGGTGAGGTTTCTCCCTGTGTGCTAACAACATGAAGAAGGAGGAGAAGAAGAAGAAGAAGAAGAGGTCATTTCTCCTGCAGCAGAGCAGGGATGTTGATGTTCCAGCCGATGGCCTGCCTGTCGAAGCCGCAGGTGAACAGGTTGCAGGCGGTGTTGTCCTCACACCAGGCGGAGCAGCAAACCATCCGACGGTGACCCTGAACAAGAGCCACCAATAATCACCTCTGGTCCAACAGTGATCACTAAAAATTCAATCAACAGTTCCTTCAGACATCATTGGGCTCTGGCCCAGATTTACCTACAAACTGAAAGTTAAATGGTAGAAACTATGATGACAGAAAATCCTCTAAAGTTGTGGATTTTCAGGATTTTTCCAACTCTCGACTCCATCCATTCCAAGGGTATTTTTGGAGTTTCGCCATGGGTATTTTTGGAGTTTCGCCATGGCAAAAAATAATTTCCCACATCTTGAGAGTGAGCTGGTCAGTTTGGACTGTACCAAATAGTTTAAAATTTTATTTTATTCATCTACTTGTCTATAAAATTTATCACCCTTAAAGTGCATCTGGAGTTCACTTCCTGCCGACTGACCTGTCTGTTGCTCCGCGGCAGCCGAGCCAGTCGCACTCCGGACATGTCGAACAGTCGGACCTGCCGATTGTCGTGAGGAAGGGCGATGATCTTCTGGTTCACCGACACGCTGATCCTGATGGGAAACAGGAAGTAGAATAATTATCCCTAACTTCCTGCTGCACAGGACTCCTCCTATAAACTGCTGATTTCACATTTATTTCACACAAACCACCAAAACAAGTAACCAGTTGGACTTTACAATTAGTAATAAGTTTTATTTTCCCAAATTTTTCTAAATTACTGTTGAGGATTGAAGTATCCATTTTGAACACATGAAACAGGTTTTGCAGTTTTCACCGATTTAAAAATGGTCGCATTGTTGTGCAAATGCACCAGATGACTGAGAAAAACCAACATTTCTCACAGTCTGCAGAACGTTTTCACATTAAGTTACATTATTTTACACTAACAGAGCGTCGGCAGACTGCAGCTCACACACCTGTTGACAGCAGAGTCGGTGCGAATGGTTGCTATGGGCGACCGCATGTTCTTCAGGTCCCACACTTTGACGGTGCGGTCGTCGCTGCCCGACACCACGTTGTCTCCAACGGTGAAGACAGCGGACGTCACCGTGCTGCAGGGGACCAGGGCACAGCTTTTATATGCTTGTTTTCATTCAGGAAACCTGCAGAATTTTAGTTGTTTTCTAGATGTTTAGATGCTTGTTTGCGTCAGACTGACTCTGTGTGTCCCTGGAAGACGTTGACGGAGTGGATGGACGGGTCTCTGAAGTCCCACAGCCTGAAGGTGGTGTCTCTGGAGGAAGTGACCACCAGGCGCTGGTTGGGGTGTGTGCAGCAGTGGGTCAGCTCCTGATCATGACCTTCACAGACACATTTGTTTCAAAGCTTTGATGTGTTCCTTGAGTTAAATGGTGAAACTGCCTCACATGTCAAAAGGCAAAACAAAAAGAAAACAACCAAATGCAATTGATAGACACTAAAACCAACATCTGAGCAGCAGCAGCCCCTGAATGACATGAGTAGAGCAGTATGACTTCATTTCATTTTACAGATCTTGTTTGTTCATTGTGCATGCAGTTTTGTGGCGACTGTGATGTGTGTTGTGTGTTTCTTGTGCCATTGCCAAAGATAAATTTCCATTTTATGTAAGTTTAATGGACAATAAAGGAGTCTAAAGTCTATAAAGGCCTTACAGGGGAAACCAGCTGGAGAACAGTGTGGGTTGCCAGGTATCAGACTGGACTTCTGATTTGTGACGTTACATTCAGGTGAATTTTTTAAACAGCTTGTTTTCAAGACACCCATAAACATGAACTTACTGCCTAAAACTGGCTGGATGTTTGTTTTTTAGTCTGTTTTTAGAAGCAGCTGAGATCCAAATACAAGTACAAAACATGCTAAACTTAGTATAAGTCGTCCCCTTTAAACTGAACCCGACTCTAACCCTGGAGCATCCTACCAGTGAGCGAGTGGACCAACTCCGAGGTCTCCACGTCGTACAGGTTGGCGGCTCGGTCCCAGGAGGCCGTCACCACCTGTTTGCCCCCCACCAGCCAATCGGCAGCGATCACCACGCCCTGATGGCTGCGCAGCGTCGTGGTCGGTACGCGGACCGAAGGGCAGTCGTTCGGGCCCTCCGCGTCGGCGTCAGCGTCGTCTTTATCTGAGGAGTCCACGTCGTCTTCACAGGGCGTCTGCAGGACGGACAGGGGAGTGAATCGGAAATCAAATCTGCTGGAGTCGCTGTGATGAGCGAACAGCTGCAGACCAGGCTTACAGTGGTGTCAGCGACGGGCTGAGGAGTGGGAAGCTGCACCATGTACCTCCAGATGTGAGCCGTCTGATCTCCAGAGGCTGCAGGGGAGAGACGGAGAGTTTAATGAGCATAAAAACGGAGCCGGAGTAATTTATCTAATAAATATCTGAATGATGGAAGTGTGGATGGTTACCAGTCAGAGCCATCTGCTCACTGGGGTGGAACTTAATGGAGTTAACTGAGGAAAAACAGACCAAACATCAATGAAACTTGCCGTTTCCATTCCGTCCAACAATGCTACAACACATTATGATCAAATATTTTGGATGCTACCTGATCCCTGGTGGCCCAGGTACTTGAGGAGGCACTTTCCGGTCTCAATGCTCCACAGCATGGCAGTGTGGTCTGTCAGGATCAATTCAATACAAATAAAATCTTCTACTATAATTATTTTTTATTATTTTAAAATAAATCAAAAGTTTTGGACATGAGGAATCAATATAGTAAATTTATTGCAAATATTTCCAAAGTAAAACCACACAGATCTGATTTTGATTTTTTTTTAAAAATTATAAAAAATAATTGTGAAATTATTAATGCATTATTGTGAAATATGCATTGTAGATGCATGTTTATAGTTTTTAAACTGTTAAGCTAAACCATCTATATTACAGGGTGTCAGAATTTGATACAGATTTGGGTAAATATGTTGGTATGGAAAAAGTAAATGCAAGAAATGTTAGGAAAACAAATCATCTAAAAAGAGAAAGCAAACAACAATAACACAATTACTTGACACTGACAATAAATCTGTCCAGGTTTTATTGGACAAACGGCAGAAGAAGCCAAAATATTGAAGGCAGAACAGGGAAAGAAGCAAAACAGGAAAAACATTTAAGTTGTATTTAAGTCGGCGCGTACCTGCAGACGCGGTGCCGAGCACCACAGGCTGGGCCCGCGTGGCGCTCAGGTCCCAGATGCCGTCCCTGTGGCCCACATACTCCTTCACCAGCTGGCAAACCGCTCTGGACGTGGTCGCTTTGAAGCTGGACACAATCTGACACCGATGCCACGACAACGTTACAACAGAACGGCGAAAATGCAACGGCAGGGTTCCTGAACGCAGCTTCTTAAAATGGAATCACCACTTTTTGGTTTTCTTTTTATTCTGAGGGATTCTCTTACCTTTATTGGCACCTTTTTAATCAAATAAAGCTGCTTTTCTTTAACTTTATTTGATTTATTAAGCTGATCTCACTTTGTTTAACTTGAACTGATCCCATTTTATTTTTTCAGAGCTGTGCAGGAATCCTGTTCTTAGGGAGGAAGCAGGTCAGGAGGAAATGCTCTGCAGGGTCCTTGTAGTACACCAGGGCTAAGAAGCTTTAAGTTTACTTTACATATTAGTCTGAGGCCATTTATTGACTAATTTAATAACCTTTTGTACGGTTTAAAATCAACTAAAGTAGGTATAAACCCTGCAAACCTTTTGGTGAAAAAAAAAACATTGGCTAATAGCAAAAACATATCTGCAACAGAAAGATAAAATCAACATAAATGGGTCCAATTATTCTGGATCAGTAGATAAAAAGGTTGATCAAAACAGCTCAAAGGACAAAAACAGGTTATCATTAATGTATCAGTTGAATCAAGGTTTGATGGAGGCGTTTACATTAAAGATGGGAATGATGCAAACAGGAGTCCTGGTGCGTTTTGGACACAAACTGCTAAATAAGTTCAGACTGAAATGAAGGAGGAGAAAAAAAGGCATCATTCATCTGAAAGGAAGTTCAGTATTCCTGTTCAACAGAGACAGTCTAAAAATATTTATTTCTTCAAATGACTCAAGCAGATGGAAAATCCTGCTGCTGATTGTTAGTGAGTAAAAGACTCCAGCAGCAGAAAACTGAATGGACTTTATGGGACAGTGAAGTAAATTATTTGCGATGGATCCAGAAATGATTCCAGCTCAATACTGATGCATGATGATGCAGTTAAAGTAAAGGTGCAGCAGCAGCAGCAGCAGCAGCAGCAGGGACTGAGGGGAGTTGATGGTTTTAGCACTGCAGAGTAAAGCTGTGAGCACTGAGTCTGAAGCACCCAGCTGTTAGTGAGCTACAGTTTGTACATCAAAACCTTACCAAGTATGTTTGGTTTAGTTTCTAGTGCAAATTTCTTACTACACTTAAAATAAAACAAAACTAATTTGCAAGTAATTTTTCAGCAACAAACAGGAGCTTGTTTTACGTCAATGTTTCCTTAATTTTGCTTAAAAAATGCTTGTTTCACTTATAGAAAGACATTTTCTTGTGTTATAAGCAAAATAATTTCCCAATGGAACTAGAACTTTTACTAGAAGCATTTTTCCAGCAAAATTAAGAAATTACTGACTTATAACAAGCTCCTATTTCTTGCTGAAACAGTATGCATAAGCAAGTTTTGTGTCATTTCAAGTGTACTAAAATATTTGCACAAGAAACTAAACAAAAATACTTGTTAAGATGTTGTGTTTTTGCAGATTGAGGTGTGCAGTCTGCTGCAGCCAAACACTGATTCAAACCCAAACGCAGAGCGCCGAGCAGAACGTGAAGTCTGTTGGAAAACATGACGGGCTGAGCAGACTGCACACTGGATGTCTCTGAGCAACAGTCTAAGTCAGCATCTGAATCCCCTTTCTGGGTGAATCTCCTACTTTTGGCGTAAGAAGCGTGTAAATAACAGCTGCTTTATGCTAAAGACGTCTCCACAGTGTACCATTATGTGAATGCCAAAAAGAAGCTAAATCAAAGCCAAAGAGATGCAACTGAAAACAAGCCTGTTAGTGAGATAAGAGGAGTTTTATCTCACGCAGAAACTGAGAGAAAAGCTCAAACTCCTACATTTGAATGACCAAGTCTCGTGGGGAGGAAGTGTCGACCCCCTGGCTTGGCTGTTCATGCATATTGGCACACAAGGGGGGAGAAATTTTACAAGTTACCCATGAGTCTCCACCCCACAACTCCCAACTGGTTACGTTGAAGTTGCGGGATCCGCCTACTACTCTGGCATGGCAAGAATTTGAACGCGGCTATGAGTGAAAAAAGACAGCAGTTCCTCTCTTTAACATCAACATCAGTTCATATTTCACTCAAGAACCCACAGTTCTCTTCTACCCATATCTAAATGAAATATTATAACATTTTATTTAACCTTATTAATTCTGTAAACAGAACAGTAACAGGAAATGAAAAATGAAATCCACTGATAGTGAAGTCTGTACCTTGCTTGTGGACGCCTTGTAGGTTGTTTTCAGTTTCTGAGACAGCTGGCTGGTGCTGTGGCTTGCTGCGCATCAAAACAGATGAAGACAAAGAAATCAAGAGATTCAGCCACAATCTCCAAACTCATCTCACCTTTCACACGTCAATAAAAGACAAAAACCTAAACTAAACTGCAATACTGAAAAGAAAATTAGTATAGAATTGTTATTGCACCAAGCAAACAAAAATGATCTTAAACAGGAAAGGTTTAGCCTTGTTTATCATAAGATGGGGATAAAATGAAAGGTTTTGTGCATTTTTATACGTTCATTAAATATGTCTGATGAAATGACTCACCTTTCGTTTTCAGAGCTCCTTTTGCTAAATCTGCTCCTTCACCCGCTTGTCCGTCTGCAGTCAAGCGATCGTTCAGGGATTCGATTTCTCTGCGGACTGAAAGTCACAGGACGCTTCGGTTAGCAGTTTCAGTGGCTACAGACAGAGGTCCTGCAAAGTTTTGGTGTTTGCAGCAGGTCACAAATAGATCTTTATTCACGGTGATTAAGACTCTATGTAGAAAAGCTCTGGACAAGTTAAGTCAAATCTAAAACATTTAATTTCAGTTCATCAAAAAAAATCACCTTAAAAACCAAAAGTGCGAAGCTTTTTCATCTAACAAACCTTCAAGTTGCTCATAGAAATTATTTTCAAACAACTGCAACTATAAAACTAGCAGGAGAAATAAAAAAGTCAAAATGATTACTTTTAGTGAAGCTAGCTTGAAGGCAAAGCTCAGATTTATTCTGTTGAGTAGTTACTAGAAGTCATTAGCTTACCTGCATTACATGGAGCCATTTTCATTCCTTTTGAAGTTGGATTTAAAGTTAAACTTATATCAAGATATATTTTAAACCTCTGTATTGGAGAGCTGTTCATTTTGTTGCTAAATTAAGATTTTTATTGAAGAGGATTGACAATAAATTATAAAAATTGATTATTTGGTCATAACCCAAGCTAAGCTGACAACAGCTAGAGCTTCTTCTGAAATCCAAACCGTCCCTCTGATGTTGAGTTAGATAACAGATTTAAGAGCTGCTTGGAGACTTTTAGAGCCAAAACCTGCAACTAAAATATTACAAAACACTTTGCAAATGTTACAATCAGAGAAAAATCTTCCAGCAGTTTTGGTAAACTTACGTTCGATATTTTCCAGGTAAAGGTTTTCGAACTCTCTCTCGATCTGATTGAACAGATCCAACAGGTTGGTCCTCAGGGACCGAGGCAGTTTGGAGTCCTGCAAGATGAAAGAAATGCTAATATAAGTACAACTGGAACCAAATTAAAAGACATTTTGTTCCTCACTGTCTGAAGTTAAATCAGACAAAACTTTTCTTGTTTTTAGGTCATTTAGAATCACTAAAATTATTTATTTTTTCTAATTTGCAGAAAACTGGGTGAACCCAAAAGGTTTGGCCCAACTCATCCAGTTAAAAGAGAATTATCCCTGATATTGTAAACTTCTGAATTCGAAAAGAAATGTAAAAAATTTCTTGCTGTTTTCTGGCATTAAACCAATAGAGATCATTTTGGTGATTCTAATTAATCTAAAATGAGAGACGTTTGGTCTAAATGTAAATATATGGCTTCAACTGCTTTGCAAGACTGGTTGTAAAAATAATTTAAAAGTTGTGCAAAACTTTTAATTGCAGCTCAGTTTCAAACATGTCCATAAAACCTCCAAAATGAATCAAACACCTGCTGACTGGCATTTAAAACAGAAAATCCAGATCTGAGGAAGGAAGAAAATCAAAATGAACAGAGCAGATTTGTTTCCTTCACAGAAAATAAAAATTAAATCAAGCTTAGACTTGCTGGTTCACAACCATTATGAGCTCATGTTATAAAAATGTTTTGCGAGTATAATGTAAAAGTAGTTTCTCTCAGTCTCTCTGCCAGTTTTCACCTCTATCCAAACACAGATTTATATATCTTTTCCTCTTTAACATGAATTATCCCTCAATCTGTTTTAGCAGCTTAAATCATGAGCACAGATTAAATCCTGCATCGTTTACAGCTGGAGATCAGCAGGAACAGCACAGCTGCATTTCCTTGGCAAAGCAGAGAGCAGATCTCTGTTTTAGCTGAACTGATTCTCGCTGCAACGTTTTCAAAGAAAACCAGTCGAGCCTGAAGCCGACGGCGGAGCGCTCAGTGCCACGGCACAAACTCTGGGCAGAAATAAAAGGCTTGGCAGGAATCACGGCGCGGTGGCGTTCTATCAAATGAGACGTGATTATGAGAATAATTTACAAAAGAAAGCAATAATGGAGCAGATTTCTCAAGCCCTGTATTCAATAACTTTGATTTATTTTTAGTTATGATCATTATAAAAAAAACAATATAAAACTTAAATGTAATTAGGAACAATATACTAATAATTGCCCGAAACAAAGATCCTTATTTAGAAAAGGAGGATGGTGGAAATATTCATAAACAGTAGAGAAACAAGAAAGCTCCTTACCAGGACTAATCTGATAACTGGTGTGAGTATTAATAATTACAAACACTTCATTTAAATGTTTGGTTGAAATCTAGAAAAAGAAAAGGTGATGCTGCTTTTATCCTTTGCAAAAAAATCAAAATACACTGCAAAATAAAAAATCTATCAATCTATCTATCTATGATAAGCAGAGGTGGACAGAGTGGAAATACTTCAACATATTTTTATTCAAATAAATATAAAAAGTAGCCGTCCAAGAAGTTACTGAAGAAAGAATAAAGCATTTTGTGAAAAGTTTACTCAAGTACTCAGTAATTGATCAAATTATCAATCACTTAATATTTAAAAATTACATTTTCAGATGGACCAAATTATAAAGTTAAGAGGAAACTTTGGTGTTTTATGGACAAAAATTGCAAAAATTCATACAAGCAACAACAACAAAAAAGAAAATCAAGAAAAAGAAATTTTTACAAATCAGTTTATTTCAATAGGCCAAATTCACCATCATGTTATTTTCAGTTGTAATTCTAGAGTTGGCCACTTGGTGTCACAGTGCGTACGAGGTTATCAATGTCGGACGGGTTATTGATCTGTGAATCCGAAACAACATCAGCTGATTCCAGAAAGCAGGTGGATCAAATAAATGAGATCATTAAAGGCGAGCAGAAGATCATGAGAAAAAGTTACTAGGAGAAATTTTCTCCTAATTTCTCCTTTTAAACACCAACATTCCAGAACTGGACTTACCAGAACTACTTACTAAATAACTGCCGGAATCATTTCACAGACACAACAGCTACTCTCTCAGCTCTAACAACCTACCCTAAACTATCGGCTACTGCAACTTACCTCCATTCTCCCAAACAAGTCCAGATTATCAGACGACTGAAACCAGAAGGGACCAGAGTGAAAACAAAAAGATCACAACAAACGCTTAAAGGGGTTCAAATCCCAAAATATTCATCTACTGTGTTTCCAGAAAATTATGGCTGTATTACACAAAAATTCCCACAAGATTATGTTTATTCAAAGCTAAAATAATATCAAGTGTTCAGTTTTAACCTCCCACTGGTAAATAACTGAAAGCCGTTATAATAAAGACAACCGCAGCCTCTTGATGTTCATATTTCCCATTAAATCAGTAAGATGGATATCACACTAAAAACTGAGACCCTAAAAGTCTAAAACTGCTTCTCTGGACAAAAAATATTGCAAAATATAAATATTAATCCCAATAGTGCTGTTTTCCAGTTCCAGAAATAAAAAAAAAAACAGTTTGAGTTACATGATGATGCAGAGAAATAAAGAAATGAAAACAATGAGAGAAACTTTTTAAAGCTTTTAACCAAATATCTGAATCTAAAAATCGATCTATTTTATGCAATGACAAAGAGTCCAACTCCAGAGTGGTCCTGCCTTCGGTTTGGAAAAACAAAACTAATTCAATGATTCAGCTAATTTCACTCCACAATAGATGATCAATCAGCATGATTGCCTCTGATTGATAATTAGCTGGGCAAATACCAATTATATTGTCATAAAATGTTTTAAAAAGGACTGAAAGTTGGAGAGATGTGCCCCTTCAAGGCAAATATTTTTTGTAATTTTTTCATTTTCTTTATCAATCTAAATGATTGTGTCACTAGAAAATCAATCCATGGAACGATCAATCAAGTGATTGTTGTTTTGAGACAGTTTTCAATATAATGATAATAACAGAATGAGGCAAGAACTCATTCTCAAAGATTAATAAACTTTAAATTCTAATGAATTAAACTCAGGAACTGGAAGATATTTTAAATATCCAAACAAAATAAATAAACCAAATAGAAACAACAGATGAAATAAATCATCTCTGTAAACTAAACTGTCCTTCAAAATAAGAGCAAGTTGTGACCAAACTGAAGACTTTTATCATCCAGTTTTTGGAAGAAAGAAAACAATAAATCATACAAATAGAAATTACTGTGCTTGTTTTAATTGATCATGTGATTGATTTATTGCTGATTGCAACAGACCTGGTCATTAAGTTCAATAAAATAAACTCAAAGATTCGTTTTTTGCTCCCACAACAACATAAAACAGGATTCCTGCCTAATAGAAGAAAACAGCTGACAAATGAATGCGTCAAACAAATTCACATAGAGAAGTTACTCTCCCCTTTTCAACACTAGCATAACTCTTTCTTTCTCACTGCTTTACTGTGTGTTCTGAAGGTAAATATAGATAAATCTGATTTATTCTGCACCCAACAGCTTTAACTCCTGTCAAACTGAAGCAAAACCAGCCTCTATCCAAGCGATTCCCTAATCCAGCTGTCCCCAGCTAAATGAAAATAACCTTACATCAATAATGCAGTAATTGCAGCATGCTTAAGCCAGCAATAATGTCCTCTAAACAGCTGCACTAAAAGCTAATTGGCTTAGGCTTACGGGTGCAGCCAGCAGGACAGCGGGCTAACAGCGACAGGCAGCAGTTTGACATTTAAACAGGAACAGCAGGAGGTTTCTGAGGCGTGGGAGCCTCAGGTGATCACCTGTCCCTCCAGCAGCTCCCTCTGCAGGCCCGAGCGATCCTGCTCCGTGCTGTTGGTCCGGCGGATGGACAGGCTGTGGGACTTCCTCTTCTGCTTGGCCTGGCGGGAGCCGGAGCTGCTGCTATTCTCCACAGGCATGGCTCTGATGTTCGGCGTTCTGAAGGAACGCAGAGAGGCGGATTGGACTTGGCAGCCTGGCTGGTGTGAAGGTGTTAACCGGCGAGATGAACGGAGCGTGAAAACAGGATTGAAGAGCGTTTTTAGTCAGTGGGTAGCATAAGGTAGACACAAAAGAGACTAAATGAGAAAGCAGAAATATCACGATGAGACCGAAACATGAAAAATATCTGCAGATGCATTTCTTTGTCAACATTTCTTTGTCAACTTTTTGCTATTCAAATTGAAAAAGATGCAATTATGATCATATTTATTATTTTTATTATTGATTACAGAACATCTTAAGTCTGTTTGTTCTTTTGCACATTAATATCATTCATCATAAATTAATTAATATTTAAAAATCAGATGGACTATAATATAAAATTCAGTGTAAAATTAGGGCATTTTAAGGACCTGATGAAAGTTCAATGTCGCAAAAATACTCCTAAAAGTACTTTTGTTTAAAAAAAGTAACTCAAGTAAATGTAACTAGTTACTACTCAACTCTGGTTATAGGTAACTTTTCAGGAATCTTGTTTTAAGTCAAAAATTCTTTAATATTAAGAATTCTGGTTCTATTGAAAGATTATTTCACTTATAAGATGGTAAAAATGTCATGTCATAAGTGAAATAATCTACCAGTGGAATTAGTAGTTTTTCCATCAACATTAAACAATGATTGACTCTAAACAAGCTCCTAACACCTCCTGACAAGTAACTTGTAAGTTTATTTTGTCTTATTTCAAGTTTACTAAGATATTTGCAATATAAACTAGACCAAAAATATTTGGTCATTTTTTTGTTTTTACATTGTATTCCTTGAAAATGGTCTCAAAATAACAGTACTATTATAAATCGCAATAACATGTGGGGCGATTCAGCACTAGAAGTAAGATCACCAACCAAATATAGCATCTAACAAGCTGATATTGATGCTGCAGTAACAGCTGTGATTCAATATTGTAGCACTGTAAACAAAACTCCAGGAAACAGCAATTGTTTGCATGTTTGGCTTTTCTATCCAACTAATCCGTTGATAAAATCTGACACCTGGTTGTCCTTTTATACCCACAGTAAATATTAGTGGAGATACTGGCGCTATAATAAACAGTTTTGAATGTCATGATGGGAGAAAACAAGAGAAGAAGCAAAATTGAAATGTGGAATATTATAGACCAAGGATATTGTCATATTCAATAAATTAGAATATTGTCATATTCAATAAATTAGAATATGTGACAAATACTTGAGAAAAATACAACTTTAAACAGGTATTAAACATATATTTTGTATTTGAAAATATTTTTTGTTCTCATGTAACATTCTAAATTTAAAAATCATGTTTTCATTCATTTTAATTGGAAAATCATCATAATTTATATAAATAAAAGCCTAAACACGTCACTTCGTGTGTAATTGATCTATATGTTTGATTTTCTGAAATAATTTACCTTTTCTATACTCTGCTTCAAAATAGTTCATATTTTTACAAAAAAAAATTGCAACTGCCTTCTTATTTTAGTTTTTATATGACAAGAAATAATCAATAGCGCTCTTTTTTGATGCACAGCCTTTTTTTGTAAGAACTAGCTGTCAAAGATTGATCAACACGCCCTTTATTGTCTTTCATTTCTGGGGAAAGTCTGAGGATGTTGATGGCAGATTTAAAGCTAAGCCCAGCTGACTCGATGCTTTTATTTGCCCTTGAACTAACAGAAGGTCTGAGGACACTCAGAAATGAAACATCTGTCCCTCTGTCTCCAGTTTTCCAGCAGACACTGCTCCTCTCTTCTCCAGCGGAATAAAACACCTTTGTCTGGCTTATCAGACTGTCTGCTCGGCTCCTTTTGTTCACGTAGCAAAAATAAAAACGCAGCGATCACACATTAAATGCTGAAAATCTGTCATTTAGTGCTAAATAAGACACGTTTAAGAGCCAGCTTAAGTTAAAAACTGAGTCATTTCTCTGGACTCTTAATACGTTAAGTCAAGCTAACGCTATCCTCCCCCTATTAGCAGCTAATAGGCTAACGGAAAAAGACGACCGGTCAAATCACTACAGCAAACTTACCGGAAAGTCCGCTAATGCTGCTTTTTGTTCCGGGGTGTGGTTCCTGTTTCTGTTCCGTTTGTCATGGTTTTAATTTGTGCTAAAGGTTTGCTATTTAAATCCGTGTTGACAGCTTCACAGAACCGTTACAAATGCGCGAGAAACGATAACGAAGCCAATTCCGGCCCGGAGCTTTTCACAATAAAAGCACGAACACTTAAGTCAGCTGAGCATTTATCTATACATAAATGTATTTATACACTTATAAATATAAATGCATTTATGTATTTATACAAACACAGAAGTTTAGAATATGCGTTTTAAAAATGTAAGAACAAATGTATACTTTTAGAATCCCTAAAATCAATACGGAAATGAAACGGAAAAATACTCCTGAAAATAAATTTGTGATAATTATAATTCTTACTAGGGCAGTAGCCCAGGGCTCCGATTTTTGGAGGGCACCCCAAATATTTTTATTTATATAAATGCAAATGTACATTATGTAAAACTCATAGGATCAAAATTCAGTGAGCTGTATTAATATGTTGTTTTCTTTTAATACAAACAATAATCAAGTATTTGAAAAATTACTAAGCTTAAATACATTTCTTTGGGAACAACATGCCGTTATTGTGTAGGGAACATACCAAACCTGTTTTTCAAACACAGAAATTTATATAAAACTCAAGTCTTACTGTTTTAATTGATGTGTGCAGAGGTATGAAACTAAAACATGGCTTCGTTCAGGTATTTGTTTATTTGGCTTCCTTGTTACGGAGTATTTAACAAAAGAAGGCCATACAGAAAACATCATCATCACTTTATCCATCATCACAAACCAAGAGGTTATTTTGGACAACAATTCAGCAACTCAGTGATATCAGAAATCAGTGTCTAACTCTGATCGTTTCATTTCTGTTTCTGAGTCCATCCTAAAAATATAGTTAATATAGTTGGGTTGATTTATTTCAGTCCAGAAAAATCTGTTTTTTTATCTGCGATCTTTGGTGCCTGACTTCCTCTTCCCGGACAGCAGGTGTTTGGGTTTGAGGTCGAACACGTGTCTGTCGGACTCTCCTTTCCGGGCCTGGCGGTTCATGTCTCTCTGGGAGTTCTTCATCATCTTCTTCGCTTTCTTCACCATCTGGAAAACCGACGTGACGCCAACAGTCGATTTTAATTTTCAGAGAATAAAAGAGCAAGTTGATACACGATGAGGTAATGAACGCATCGTCACGCACCTTGACGTCCCGTAAGCCGGACTGGTCTCGTGGAGGACGGGAAGCGCTTTGGCTGCGGGTTTTGGAGGTCGGAGGCGCCGAAGCTTCACGTTTGCGTTTCCTGGTGGCGCTGCGTGAGCGCCGGGCCTGCAGAGCGTAGTGGCTCTGAAAATATAACAACCAAAACATTTGAAATTGCCTAAACATGTTCGTCATCAGCATTCACAATCAAATAAACAACAATGAAATAAATTATAATTCTACATCAAATAAATAGTTTAAAATGTGTTTAAAAGCCTTTCATGTAACAAGTACATGTTCAGTTTTTTTCTTGTTTTCACAATTTTAGGTAATTTTTTTATGTATTCAATGAATGTGGAAAATTTTCAATGTTCATATATATAAAACTTAAAATAAGAAGTAAATAAAAAAGGTTTAATATGATGGTAAAGAAAAGTAAAAAGCCTCATTTGTTTTGAGGCTTAAAATTTGCACTGAAAAACATTCAGAAAAATCCAACTTCTAATTTCAGTTCATTTTTCGAAGGCAAATAAAATCCAGATTGATTGCTGATGGCTTTAATAGAAGTCATTTATAAATTTTTTTCCTGCTGACTAATTATAGAAAAAACATCCTGGAGACATTTTTAAGGGCAAGAAAATAACCTAAAATTTACTTTTAACAGGCTTTTTAGTATTTATTACCACATTTAATAATAATAATGAAAAACATACCCACCATCATTTTTAACTGCAGGATGTAATATTTCTATTTAAGCATAATTTCTTTTTGTCTTTTGAACAGAATAATAACTTTTCTGTTCTTTCGGACTCATTTGTTCTTTTTTTTTCTTTTTTTAAAGAACTGCAACAATTAAACAAATTCCTGTGTAAAAAGCATGAAATCATTTCTTTTATCCCATATTCTTTTAAATGAAGAACTTACATCGTTCTTGTCGTTCATGTCCAGACCGAGGTTACTCATCTCCTTCTCCAGCTTCTTCTTCTCAACCTTTGCAGAAACAAAATCAAACATTCGAGTTATTTAAACATTTCGAAGACACAAAGCGTCGCTCGTCCCAGGTAGCAGCATCCGTTGCCATGGAGGCCCTCCTCCCACCTTGGTGGCGGTCCTGGGCATGCGTGGCCCGTGGACGTCCTTCTCCTTGGACTCCAGCACCAGGAGCTGCTTCTTCTCCCGGATCTGCTTGGCCAGGCAGCGGATCTGCTGCATCTCCTCGTCCTCGCTCTCCTCGTCCGACTCGTACTCCCCGGCTCGCTCCTTCAGCTCCTCCTCCTTCTCCAGCTCCTCCAGTTTCTGCAACGCAAAACGGAAATTTGATCAATATCAAGCCACATAGTTTGGGTTTTAAAGTCTGAGCTGACTAAGAATCAAGTGAAAATATAAACTTAAGCTGCTGCTAATGTCTAAATAGTGTGAAAAACTGTGTCCCACCAGGTGGAAGTCCAAGAATTAAATAACCATCAGAAAGAGGAACTTTTTTAGAGACTTACCCTCATGATCTCGGGGTCGATGTAATCTGCAACGTTGTGGCCTTCCCACACTTCAGGGATCTTATCTTGCTTCTCATCCTCGTTCATCAGATCCCAATATTCTTTACAATAATTTGAATAATGAGTAAAACACAGAAAAAAAAAAGCAGCTGGCACTTCTAAGTTTATCAGAAGTTTTCTCACTCTGCAGGTCCAGAACGTAATCGTCACCAAGCTCCATCTCCAGGTCCCTCTCCTGAAACATGACAAGTTTAAGATCCACTTAATAAATCTCCTTATAAATCAGAAATTTTTCACCTGGAAAGCTCCATCAAACAGACTGAAATTCCTTCTGTTGTATAAAAAATAATTTTTTGCTGTTTAATCCGCAATAATTCATGATTTGTATGAACTTTTAATCTGAGTGCAGCAGATGGCTGGTTGGTGAATCTATAAGGAAAATTAATGAACAAATGCAGCTTTACTTATTATTACTCAAATGAACAGATGAGGATAATATAAACTGTAAGCTACTTCTGCAGGTGAGCATGTCGCTGTAATGGTTGCCTACCAGTTTGCGTTTAGGAGCGTCGACCTCCATGGCCTTCCTCCGGTTCAGAGCTCCTTCTGGGATGAACGGCGGTCTCTCCTGGGAAACATCAGAAACCCGTTTTAACCTGAACTCCTCAGAGATGCTGTTTGGCTTTAACTTCATTAGATTAAAATGTTCAGATTAATTTTTGACAGCTCCAGGCCTGACCGACCTTCTCGTCCCTCTTGGAAGGCATGGCCAGGTGGAGCCTGTTGAGGACGTCATGGACCTTCTTGCCCTTTATCTTGGTGTTGACGCGTTGAGCCAGGAGTCGGTCACAGGCCTGAGGAATGCAGCGGCGTTGAATAAAAGACCAGATGACATCCCACTAGAGCGTCAGAATGAGCCCGCCTGCTGTCAGATCTCACCTCGGTTTTCACCTTGATGACGCCCTCCTCCGTCAGCGTGCTAGTCTCGATGACCGGGATTTCCTCGGCGGAGAGATCCGCAAAGATTTTCTGGTAACAGATAAAACTTTGAGCTTAGAAAGGCTCAGAAAACGACGAGCGGAGGAGCTGAACCGATGAAAACTGACCTGGTTCTCCTCCGACAGCTCGCTGATCTTCTTCACGTCACATTTGTTTGCAACAACAATGAGAGGCTGCAGGAATGATAAACAATTTCATGTTTTTAGTTCGATGTCACAGGAAAACATAAAGTATAAGACAGGATTCATATTTTAAAATATTCCCAACAGAATAAGCAAAGTTTCTAAAATAAACTGAAACAAAAACACAAAGATGAGGAAAAATTTGCCAGAAAATCTTTTGTTGGTTTCTCTAGAGGGAGCCAAAGTTCACTGTAGAAAACAGACGCCCAGTTTTACTGCCTCACTGTAAATATTTCTGGAATTTATTATGTGATAAAACAGATAAAAGTCTGAAAAGTGTGGCATGCATTTACATGAAGCTCCTGACTGCATCTTTCACTGCAGGTTCAGATTTACACATGTGCAGACAGTTTTACATTGGATGGAAGGAGTTAAAATAAATTTTCGTCTTTCCACAGAATGAAAAATAGTGTGAGGTTTGGACTTTGACTAGACCATTTTAAAACCATTTTATCGCAGCCCCAGCAGGATCTTCACATCTTCTCTCAGATGGTGTGCTTAGATTCCTCCAGGAAGTTGGGATTTAAATATTAACCATGTTAATTTTTTATTTTTTGGTGAAGATTGTGTGCAGCAATTTAAACTTTTTGAAGATGCAGTTATTGGAGAAACAGGGCTTAAAAAATATGCAACTTTTTGAAAAAGGTGCTGATAATTCAGTCATTTTAGACCAGAACATCCAGGAGGGACTGACTTATAAATCAAAGCTGTGTTTTATTTGAGGGTATAAGAGTAAATGGGGGTGAATGAAAATAAAACACTGTTTTTCTGTTGAAATTGTGGACACAAGATGAATCCTCGTCCTTCTTCTTCAAATTCATGTCCTCTGTGTTTGTTTCTATAAAATAAAATTATAAAATTCCAAGAAAACATCAAATTTTGTTTTTAATGTGAGCAAATTCGAGGGATGTTAAGTTATTTCATAGTTATTCTGTTTTCATGTCAGAGGAAGGTTCTTGGTATTTCGAGAGTAAAACAGAAACAAGTAAAACTAAGAACACGTCGCTTCATCAGTAAATATCCAGAATGGTGGCAGGAAAACAGATAATCATTTCTTCTTTGTTTTTATTATGTCAGGTGTGGAGGTCGCACCTTGTTGGCGAACAGCGGCCGGATGTTGTTGAAGAGCTCCAGCTGCTCCTGCAGCGTGTGTCCGCACTGCTCCGACGGATCCATGACGTAAAGCACCGCCGCCCGCAGGTGAGCCAGAGCCGTGATGGCCTGCATCTCGATGGTGTTCCTCTCCTCCAGAGGGTGGTCC